TTTGATGGGGTGGACAGGAACGAAGGGAAAAGTTACATGAGAAAGTGTTTACCTTGCAATATTGAAAGTAACAAGGTCGAGTGCAGAGACTGAGAGAACACAAAGAGGTAGTCAGAACAGCACATAGTACCGGCCTTCACTTTGTATGGAGCCGCGCTCCCCCGGAAAACTAGGAAACAACATTATGGTTTCCCACTATATCTGAAGAAACGTTAGAGAAAACAAATTACGTATGACAGAGCCAGAGTAGGGAGGGACTTCCACAGGCCGGCCGAATGCTGATTGGAGGATCGTGTTGCCAAGAGACTCTATCTGAGTCTGCGCACCAAACAAAGAGAACCAAGTCTAAACCGCGGTTTCTCTTCAGCTAGTCTTGACCAATCATAAATGTACGGGCAACGCCCTGTGTAATAAAATGTATGCACGCACGAGGTTCGAGGCTCTTGACGGATTTGGTGGTTACAGATTACAGCTTTGCTGCCTGCGATTCCCAAAGACGTGATGAGTCCTTGGCCAAGTAAAATATATCTTTTGCTCTCTTTACAATAAATAGTTAAACTTAGAAGTTGTCTGTCTTTTCTGGAATTCTGAACCCAACACCGGCAAGCTTCAACGCAACCTATGCTGGGACTCCCAGCAGCTTCTACTGAAGCCTTCCGATCCATTTATATAAAAACCTGTCTGAAAATGAGCTGATAAGATTTTGGCCACTTTATGATGTCATAACGATTTTTTGGCTTGTGTAACCATTAGCCAATAACCAACCAAGGTAACTCAGTAAAATCTCAGTAAATGCAGCATCAGAAGAAAAGATTACTACTCAAATTAGACAGTTGAGATGATCTGTGGCACCTGAAAGCATTCCAAGTGAAAAAAAATAAAGGCAAGAAGAAGAATAGAGGTAGGGGTCAAACCTGTTCACATTGACAGAGATGATACTCTTGACAGGTACACTCTTGGGACCAGGAGCGGGATAGAACACTGGCTCCTGAACAGCTTGTTTGGATCGGCGGAGGGCGTATGGATCAGCAGAATGCATGGGGTAGGAGCCAAACGTCCCTGCTTTCATTCCTCCAATCTGACACAAGATAGAGCCACACAAATACACAGATACATGTGAAAAGGTTAAATATACAACAGATATATAGCGGGTTAAAGAATGGCCACTTGGCCAGAAACAGTTTTTTCCCTCTGACCCTGCAGTGGTGCAGCAGACGGAGGAATTACCTTTTTGTTGGGGGACGGGGGCTTGAAGGGGACTACAGAAATCTTCTGGTCAGATGAGAGGGGCTTGTTTGCGGGTGGGAGGGGCTTGTCACTATGGTATGGGTTGCCTTGGAAATAATCTCTTGGATGGAGGTTGAGTCTGAAGGGGCCATCTTTTAACTTGGAGTGATGGATTGCTGCCTCCTTCTGTACCATACACAAACACAAACACATTTATTCTTAACTCAAGGTTGAAAATATATGTCTAAATTGATGTAAGTAGTTCTTATTAAAGCAAATGTTTGTAAAAGAAATTGTAAAAATGCGTAATTCACCGTAATGTCTTTACAAAGGATTTCTATGAAATAACTTTACTTTGTCACCATCCAGTTTTAATGAAGCTTTTGTTTCAAAGCGTAAACTTCTCCACATGAGAGGTTTACAGACAATAATAAAACGGGTGTCGATAGTACACATTAGGATGGTCGACATGGCCACAACTTTATATACGTATGTCATTTTATAGGACAGGGTATATGTCACCTGGGGAGCTAACTCTTGCTAAAGCAGGAAAATAAACAAAAATGATACAAACTTTTTTTGAAAGATTTGCTACCTTGTCCAATAAAAAAGGGATAAGTTAGAAATAAATAAGACAAATGTCCTTGAGCATTTTTTTTACAACTGACTACAGTAAAGGCACACTTAATAAACCTGCCAAATAATTGCTCTAACCTCCTGACTTATTTACCACCACATCTGATCAGCTGATTGTCTAGTTTGTTGCCCCCTCTGACTTCTTTATAGAAAGTTGTTGTGTTACCACATCCATCAATGTCAGTACTTTGGTGAATATGGTATTATAATAACCAAGATAAATAATCTCCGAAACTAAAAAGTAATATAAGGCCCAAAGGTATAACATAGTAATCCAGAATTATTTTAAAAGCGTTACCTTTAGAACTTCTCTGGTTCTGCTGTATGGGTCGGACGCATACAACTCAATTCTGGATAGAGTCACATTGGGATAGCTGCAGGAGAAGTGATAGGTTAGCCATAGCATCCTTAGAACTGTTCGTAATATTCAATCAAATATGTTTGAGTTGACGGTTTATAAGAAAAGAACAGGACACACTGTAGTATCTTAGTTGTTCCAGAATATACAGAAAACAATAAGTTACATTATGCTGTGCTTATGAAAGAGTTCTTGCCATAAACCTGTAACCACTGCCTTTCTTGGAGGGGGAGGTGACGATGTTGCGTCCAGGAGAGCGGTGGGCTTTCTGTGTGACTGATAGCGGACTCATGGCCTCCAACGGTCCTGACAGAGTCCCGTAGTAACTGCCTGACCCACAGCTGGAGGGAGACGATACGACTGTGAGAGGATTCATGCATGATTGTATATGTGTGTGTTATTGTCTGTGTGTGTGTGTAATCTCTCACGGCTGTGTGACTCTGTTACAGGGCAGGAAGGCCTTGCCAAGGTTCTTGTTGTTTTGCTGGTTGCGGTTCTGCCGGGCCAGTCTCACAGGGTCACTCAGAGCTTCTCGCTCAAATATCCGTTTGAAGGACTGATCGAAGAAGCCGTTCTGTAGAGCACATCGCTGTTTAGAAACCCCCGCCAGCATCTGTCTGCTGCGGTGGGCCGACTCATTAAAAGGACCTGGATTTCAGATGAAAGACATGAGATCTACATGTACCCTTGTGTCTTTAGAGATGCAAATATACATATGAATATAACTTTGCTACAATGTAGGTGGCGGTGTTCATGTTGTATCACAATTGAAAAGTTGGTAAGTTCACGCAACACAGCCTTACAAAAAACGTGTAATAGCTACTGTGGTCCACAGGGCAAAACGCAGAAGCTGTATTATTTTTTATATTATTAGACCTGGTATGAGCAGCAATCCAAGCTTTTTTCCAATAGAGTGGCGAAGTCCCTCCCCTTCCGGGGGAGCTCCATGGGACCTTATTTTGGAAAAATTATGTATTGAAGTCAATGGAGAGAGTAAGATCATCTTTCGATCCCGTTTGAATTGTGCCACGAATTACACATATGATGTTTGTCAATTTAAAAGATAATTTTGCAAGTCAAAAAAATAATAATGTGTCGTAAAACTGTGAAGTAACACACATTTTAAATAGAACATAGAAAAAGTCTTAGATCTTTGATTTCAGCTCATGAAAAATGGGTGCAAAAACAAACAAACGTTATTGTATTTACCATGATGGAGGCAAGCCCGGTTCTACCGGGGTGCATAAGGGTGCATTGCACCCTCAGTTGAGTCGTTATGCACACTCATTTGAAGAATGAAAGGCGAAAAAAAAACAAAAAAGGAAAAGTGAAAGATATTATATAATAACAATAATAATAATACTGCATCTAATGCAGGTAATAACAGTTCAGATCATGGGGACATTACGTTACCTGCGGCCACTGTCGTGGACACTAACGTCCTCCCGCCCGACTCGCCGGCTTTGCATTGATCGTTTTTGTGTGAAACGATCAATGAACTACATCTCTGGTCTAGCAGACTCGCACAACAACACACGTCACCAAGATGGCCGTCACTACTGTCTTGTCAAAAAAGGGATTGACTACCCTCACTATCAGAAGAATGTCATGCAAAGCTGCCTGCCTGCCTGCCTTCCTTTGATTCTCTCTGAACTGCCTGATCTTTTTAATGTTTAATGTCAACCATTTGTGCAGATAGCATGAAGTAGAAAAGATCGCCGATGCTAATGTAGCGTTAGCATTTCTCCCCGGGGCTTAAATGGTGTACTATAGAATGATAACACCGGTGTGACAGCATTCTTCAAAGGGTTCACGAAATATGACTACTACTCTTACTGTTTAACATTTTGGGTTACTTGATGTTACTTCATGTTAAGGCTAATAAAAACAACAAGGCTAAGGCTGTAATGCTAACTAGCGTGCTTGCTACTAGCTAGGTAGCTAACTTGAACAAGCCACTGCTGGTCCTTTCATCATACGGGAAGCGAAAGAACGAGCAAGACCCATTGCTGGTATGATAACAACCTGGTACTAAGCACACAGGCATCTTGTTAAAGTTATCTTATCTTAGCTATCTCTTATTTGGTGGAGGAAAACAATTGTGACGTCAGTTATGGTATCACTTACGCGACTCTGGGATTTGTAGTCTTTCTAGTTGCGTATTTTTTAGTCTTATATTTCAACAGTTTTACGACAAACTGTGACTTTTTTGACATGGAAATTGTCTTTTACGATTGACAAACATCATATGTGTAATTCATGGCTAAATTCAATCGCAGATATCCCCTTGGATCAGGCCCCTACCCCACTCCACCATTATTACCTCACCTTCAGAGCCACCCACCCAGAACCAGAGCCATACAAGCAAGACAGGCCAGCACCACTCCAATAAACTCAAGGCCCATACCAGGATATCAGCCCTGCCCCCCGTTTCAGCAACCAGCTCAGAAAAGCTACGCCACTGCACTGAAGACCCCACCAAACATCGGCAGAAACGGAGCCGACCTGGGAGAGATCACACACCTCCTAAGCCTTATATGCAGCAAACTGATGAGTCAGGTCGTATAAGACTTAACTTAACACACACTCACACCTGTTTATCTCATTTAAAAAAAAAAGAGTGTATTCTTCACAATGACCACTTCAATGACACCATTCTCCATCTCTATGTGGAACATCCAAGGTACACATTCTTCTCTGTTTGGACAGAAAT